GGGCCGGCAGCAACACACAACAAAGAATTTCCGAAACTAAACGAAGTGTTTTTATTTATTTATTAAAATTATAACTACAATCCGAAAAAACAGGGGAAGCCTGGCTTCCCTTGGCCTCCAGGAGAAAACGCCACTGGTGACGAGGAGCTCCGCCTATATGGCCAACTCTCCACTAATCAGGGGAAATGAGAGGTTGCCGTGGCATGGTAACAGCATGGTAACATGACGCTCGTAACTCGGCCCCCTCCTTTGCAGGGGGGCGTGGTCAGCTGCAGCGCATGCAAAGACAGGGTGGAGGAGAGCAAAATAGAGCGAAATGAGGCATGGCTAAAATGCATGATCTGTTTGGTATTTTGAAAAAGAAAACGTATAAATATACCTTACAATAAATTATTCAAATATAGCATGATAGGTCTCCTTTAAGTAAATTGTGAAATTAAGATGCCAAATATGTCTATGTAAGATTTTGTAGGTTTTTCAGATTATATTAAACACAAAATAGGCAAGTTACAAATTCTTAGCCTCCGTAGTTATCGAGAAATAATAACTACAAATGAATTGCATTAAAATGTCCTCTGGTCAGAAAGAAACAGAAAATATTAGCCAGACGTTATTTTTTTAATAATGAACAAAAAATAATAATTGGTTCCTAATCTACTTTATTGACTTACTTACTGATCTGCAAGCAGACATCGTGGGTGCATGTTTTAAATATTACTGATATTTTCTTTTCTTTTTTTAGACCGATATTCATTAAGATAATCATTTGACTGAAAATCAGTAGGAGTGTTGCAAGAGTAGCTAAGAGTTATGTGGGGTTTAGGATGGTTATTTTATTTTTAATACACTGAATATTAACTGTAGCTTGGTGTAGAAGTATTTAACTTACCATCACTGGATATTTGGAAGACTTCCTTCAGAGTGAGGATCTCTGGAGAGAGACAAAAAGAAAATCATAAGCACTACTGAAGGAAAACTGTATATCTTAGACCTCACGGTGATTCCAATTGTTTGGGAAAAAGTCATTTTGCACTGACTTTTCACTTTTTAAACAAGAGAATGCCAACAGCGCACAAAACCAGGTTTATACAAAAAGTGTGTTCCCAGATTAGTGAGGAAAAACTTTAAAAGGCAAACTAAATATTTTACCTGTATCGTCATTTATCTTGATTGGTTTGTTGTGAGTTGCTGAGGGCTAGAGATGTTTGCTTATATAATGGAAATAGATGTAACTCTATTGCTAACTCAGCTTGTCTATGTCAAAGTGCAAACAAATTGATCGGAAACTAAACAGCTACTATGTCTCTTACCAAAAATTGAGACCTAAATTCTGAAAACAATTCACAGACCCTGTTGTGGGGAGTTGCATGAAGGTACTTTTTTTCTTTCTACCTAACTGCACCCACCCTCCGTGTTACCGCGCAGAAGGAATTGTACATCTACTCATGGACGAGAGGCACTTGCTTACTTATTGACGGGTGAGGTTTGGAGTGTTAAAATGTTTTTGTTGCTTTTCGGCCAGTCAGTTCTATCAAATATCAAGATAAGGTGGCTATCTCTACACTCAATACCTCCAACACTCAGAACCTAACAACAACAAAACATCTAGATTGATAAATTGCATTACAGGTCATAGGAAAAAGAAAAAACAATTGTCTTTGGGGCAAAAAGTCCAGTTTCTAATGTGACAAATATGCTAAGGACAGTGGTCTCTCTCTGAGGTACTGCACGCGTTTCCTACCCTTCAGGTCTCTCTCTTTAAACTGAGTGATGGGAAACATCATGGCATCTGCAAGCTGGGTGGACAAGACAGCATGACAGGAACTCAACTACAGAGAGAAAGAGAAAGACAGAATGGAAATGGTCACATCTTGGTCAGTTAAATCTTCCAGTGTGGCAGCTGGCGAGTTTGTATTTTCTCACCTCATCGATGACTTTTGCAAACTGCTGCAGGGTGGAGCTCATCACCTCGTCATCGCCCCCTAGAGGAAAGCGCTGCAGATGACAGCAACAACATGGAGGAATGGATTAGATTGATTTCAGTGTGGAGAAATGCGTCCCTGCTGAAGCAAACCAGCATGAAACGCACAGCAGAGGAAACTGGGGATTTCTCGTCACAGAACAAGTGATGGTTAAATGTTGGCCTGAAGTTGTCTCTAGGGAAAAGGTTGTCAAAACAGTAACAAAGTCTAGTGTCATAGGACGGGTGTCTATTTTTCATGGGGTCTTTGGCTGGTGGCGTTACCTACCTGTTTGTCGTACTCTTTCAGCAGTCTGGAGGTCAGGTGTGTGGCAGCACTGAGCTCGTTCTGAAAGAGAAAATAGGACAGAGTCACAGCTGGAGACACACTTTCCCATCAGCTGCTCTGTCAACGCTGTCTGTACCTGCAAAGCCAGTGGAGGTACACCTGTGAATCATGCCTGTGTGTGTGTGTGTGTGTGTGTGTGTGTGTGTACCTGTGCATCATAAATCCTCTGCATGGCCTGGTAGAGCTGACTGCAGTAGTTGGACATCGCTGCAGTGTCCTCCTCAAACACTCCCAGCAGGGACCGTGTCTACACACGAAACACAAAATAAAACTGATGAAAATAAAGTTAATGCTAATAATTTGACCGAGCAATAAGAATTCACCCGTTATGGTCTCAAATGATCCTTTGTGTATCTGCCAAAATAACCAAACCCACACATATCTATGTAAATCAACACCGATGACCTGCATAGTGCATACAGCACAGTAACATTTCCAGGGTGTGTCTCAAATGCAGTTTTAGCTTGCCAGCACACTCATCTGTCATTTTCAATTTATAATAGCAAAGCTGATATTTGTAATAATTTAAAAAGGTTTCCTATGGTAGAATGTAACCAATTACATTTGTTCAAGTAATATAATTACTGTTACTGTTTACGTACTGCTAGAAATAGTAAGTGCGGCAAGAGATTTTTAAACTTAAAGATGGAAAGATTGTGTTTATTTAAGCAAGAGAAGAGAACAACCTTAATAATATAAATATTTATATATATTATTTAGTTATATAGAACCCTTTAAAACAGGGTTACAAAGTGTTCACAAACACCAAAATCATGAAAAAATAAACCAATTCCTTACACGGCGATAACAAGAAACACATCCAACAACCCAAACAAAGCTTTTAATTTAATTTTCAAATTTACTTTGTACCTCTTAATCTGGTTGACATGTGATGAACAGATGTATACATATAAGTTAATTAAAATTGAGTTAACGTAATTATCAAGAGAGATAGTGGTGAGATGTGATTAAGTGTAATGTTTTAGCATATAATATATTAATCTGTATTTACTGTTCAAACCTTTCAGGATTTATAAAATGTAAATTTCTCTCAAGCTTTGTTAAAGTGTTTCACACTTTGTAATTGTCCATTGCACTTCCCAGCCACCGTAGTCATATGACAAACTGCAACATCATCAATATTCAACCAGCTGGTTTCCACTTGTCAACATGATGTATTCTGTACACAAAAATCAATCATGTATCAGTTAAGCTGCTATTAACTAAATTAGGGATACAATATGTTGTTGTTTATGTTTGTTTATGTTTTAAATTATTTACCTAATAAAAAACAAGTTCAAGAGCTATTTCCACGATCTAAAGATTAAAAAAGTAAATAGCAAATAAATACAAAATGACACCAATGCAGAATTGCATTTTCCAGGACCTTAATATTGCTCTAAAAGCTTAACTTAAATTGATAGTTATGTAATACAAACTGCTTTTATAACCACTTTTTTGACAAATATAACAACATACATTTAATTTCAGAATCTGGACACACCCCCACTAGTGATGTCACAGCAGGTGTTTGCTCTGTATTTTCTGCAGGACACAACAGCATGATTTGGGGTGTTTAGCCCACATTAAAGGAGCTATAGCTTTATGCACCTTGTGACTTTAATAACATAAAGCATCATGATGACACAGCTGCTTTATAATAGCTGAGCAGTTACTATCAACGCAATGAAGGGAAAAGCGGGCCAAGATGCTAAGGAAGTAGCCGCCTGCTATTTAGAAATCCTACGAGTAATCTTAATCTAAAGCGAAATTACGTGTTGACATCTTTACGGAAACCACCACCAGCTGATCGGTGTAGCCGCCCGGGTCTGGGCCGAAGCACATCTGCAGTGTATCCGCCTGACAGCTTTGTCAGCGGGGCCGTTAGCAGTTAGCTTTCTGCCCGAACTTGGCATCTCTTTGCTGGTTTTGTTGGCAAACACTGAGCCTACAAAGACAGTTAGCCTAGCCGTTAGCATGCTAGCTGAAAGCTTCCAGAGAAGAGAGCCGTTACCTGCGGGCTGTCCTCCAACGTCTCCTCTATCGGAAGCTTCTCTATCCCGGGCATGGCTGCGGCTGGCGCGGTAGTAATCTGTGCTTACACGATACAAAAGACCCAATAAATCAGTTCCGACAACTTCCACTCACGATTTCTTGGCTGCACGAATTTACAACACCCCAAAACAGCTCATCCCCGTTTCTCAAGTCCCGCCCTCTGGAAGGTTTTGATTGGATACGAAAAGATTCCACGGTTTTGATTGGTATCTTGTTTAAAGGGGAAAAGGCGCCATTTTGGCTCTGACCAGGATCGCCCTTTTACTATGACCGTGTACAACTTAGAGCCACAATGGCAGCCGTTGCTTAGTTTGTCATAATCTTTTCTATACAATTTGGTTATTTAAGCTTTTAAAGTTACTAAAGTCTTTTTTTCCTCAAACTTTTTGTTGTGGGATTGTATTACTTGCTATTATACATGTCAAGCAGTGTTATTTACTTTTTATTAACTACACATTTTCACACTTAAAGGATAATAGGGACAAAAGCACAAAAAACAACACAATTATGAGGTAATGGAATGATGAGTCAATCAAAAACAAATTTGCCTAATTGAACCCTAGCCTTTTTTTTTTGGATACAAATGTTTTAAAAAGCTTGAATTAACTATATACAATACAACCAATTGCTAACATTATTTGATTTGGAAGATAAATGATGCACTCTGGGTCCAATCTGTGAATAAAATGTTGATCAAACTGGTCTGGTTTGATTGTCAGCCTATCAAATGTTAATATACTGTATTTATATAATTATTGTTGTTATATATTGTAGTACATTATTCTGATTATAAATATAGGTATACAACAAATAATAAATCGAATGTACAACATGAACAACACTGTAATGCAGATAATTTTTCTTTATTTTTGTTAATTGTCATAGCTGAGGTTCAGAAGGATGCTCCTGGAGTTTCCTCCAAGTTAGGGAGCGTCAGTGGACCACGAGGGAACAAGTCCTCCGCCATACTGTTAAGTCCTTGCAGAACACAGCTGCTCAGGCCGCTGCGGGGCGTCTCCACGAGAGAGACGTAATACCACATACCGGCTTCGTCGTCATAGCGGTTCACATCCAACATAGTGGAGGAGCCACTGTGTCCTCCCACCAAAAAGAGCTGGTCGTCCACCACCTCAATGTCAAAGTAGCTGCGGGGATAAAGCATAGATGGTGTGAAGTTCCAACTGTTGGTTTCAGGGTTGTAGGCCTCAACAGTGTGCAGGGAGATATCCACGTTCATTGTTCCACCAACCTTGAAGAGAGAGTGTGGAATGGTCAGTGTTTAGATCATTTCATTCAGTAAATGTCTCCAGCACATGAACAAGTCTTTCATTCAAACCCTTACTAAAAGGTAGGAATGGGAATATAAAAAAATTCAAATATCACAATATTTTTGAACAAAAATCCATGATATCAATATTGTGATGATAGTGTAGTTTTGGTGGAGCTCATAGGACTGACAAGTAATGCGACGCATATCAATATTGTGATATGGGACTTAATGGCGTCTTTAATTGTGGATATAATGTGGTAAGTGTTTGTCTTCCTCGATTAAAGGCTGCCTTTTAGTAAAGTCAGTCAATAAACCAACATAACTGATGATTATTTATAAAAAATGTAATATTCAAAATGTCACATTTTTTGCCTTACATGTCATGGCATCAGTTTCTCTGTGACACTCCGTAATAGTACATGCACATTGAGCCTTTGGTGCCACTCATCTCATAAAACTTCAAATTCAAAGTGCTACCCTTCAATGCTACATTTACATTAATAAGAAGTGAATTTATGACCACTCGATGTTCTATTGGTCCAACCAATTCAACAACACCAAAAATGTGTATTCAAAAATAATCTTTGGTAAATGTTTGCACATCTCTAACGGTGCCACTCCAACAATCAAAGCATATTACTGCCTCACACTTACTGCATAGATGCGGTTTCTGTAGGCAGCGACCCCCAGGCCACTGCGGCTGGTCCTCATGGCAGAGATAAGGGTCCACTGGTTGAAATCTGGGTCGTAGCATTCAGCTGTGGAGAGGCTTCGATGCCCGTTATAACCCCCGCAAACATACACCTGCAGACAGGCTTGAGAATGTTACATTTAATATATATTCCACTACAATTACAGTCAAAATGAACGTGTAAGTAAAACACGTTTTAAATTGCTATGGTCAGTAAAGGCCAATAGGCCACACCATGCATAATGTTTACTTTTATTTTGATGGTAGGCCTATATGTTTTTCTTTGTAGACAAAATTGTTTGGTTGAGTGTTTGTTTATCAGGGTTTTAAAAAAACGACTGTGCCTGATTTTGGTCAAACTTGTTGAAAGGGCGGGGCATGCACTAAGGAAGAACCAAAACACAAAATCATATTTTTTCCCTTTTATAAATATTTGAGGCCCTTCTGGGAGATCTGCACTCTCCAAGTATCCAGTTTCAACAAACTGACTTTATAAAGCAATATCTATCTGAATTCTGTTTACATAAGTCAACTTGTTAACGACTGGTCATACTAGACCAAGTAAGGCTACTTTTTGTACAACTCTTGAGTGTATTGAACTAAACAAGCATTCAATCGCTCCCGCAGTTTCCTACATCAATCTCTACGTACTAATCAGGGCACATCTACACATTTCAACCCACGTTTATAACATAAATAATTTGGCTAGCATGGACATTACTTCAGACTTAATAATGAAGACAATGTACCTTGCAAGGTCATTGCTAGTTTCTGCTTCACCCACCTTGCCATTTAGAGTAGTGGCGCCGGCCCCACTCCTCCTTGAGTGCATCTGTGCCACCATGGTCCAGCGGTCATTCTCAGGCCTGTAGCACTCGACACTGTTAAAGCAAGTCACTCCATTGTAGCCTCCAATGGCGTAAATGCACTCATTATGCACAACAACACAGACGTAGCCGCGGCAGAAGTTCAAGGGGGCCACTTGGTGCCACGTGCGAGTCACAAGGTCAAACTTTTGCACAGTATTAAGGTAAAGATCAGTGCAGATGCCTCCAATTAAGTACACAACGTTGTTGAGGACTGCAGCACCGTGGTAAGCACGACGGATCTGACCAGCGCTGACAGTGACCCAGCAGTCAGCGCGGGCATCGTACGCCTCGAGGTCGGTGGCGTGTACACCGTCTCCTTCGCCTCCGGTGACCAGTAAGATGGTGGAGGGCAGGCGGGGTCGACTCAGCATATTTTTGTAGATGGATTTTGAGTATCTACTAAAATTCAGAGACACTTTCAGTGCCTCATCGAGGATGGGAAAACATTTGATGCTCTTCTTCACCACATCGTTGTCCATCACATTTTGGAGATAATACACGTTCATCAAGCCTAGCCGCACCTGGACACATAAGAGAACAACACTTAGAAACGTATAATGAGTACAAGAACATTTGAGTGTAACCTTTTTTTTACAAAAATAAATGGTGATGGAGTTTTCTTTATTTTATAGTTGAATACTTTTTTTGTCTTTTATTATATTATGTATTATGTTTTTGAAGCAAACTATTTAGAGAGAATGAACATTCTTTGAATTTCTTATTATAATATTAAGTTTATTAATATTTGTTTTTATTGTTTTAAATGCATATTCAAATGTATTTAATAAATTATGTTGATCGAATTAGTGTGTGTATAAGCGAGGGTGCAAGAGTGTTTTAAGGGGAAAAACAAACAAAAAACATCAAGAGAGAAGAATAAAATAATGAATTAATAAAAACATTTAAACATTAAATAAATAAATGGAGAATAAATAAATAAACAAATAAATAAATAATAGAGTGCAGGAAAAATTGAGCTTTTAATAAATGCCTTCTTTTGTTTTTTTCCTTTACCAAATTGTGGGCTGTTTTGGTAAAAATTAAACCCAATTGGTTTTGAAGAAATTGAACCCTTGCTGTGTCAATCTGAATACATCTAGATTATTGTTTAGTTACCTTGGACAGCAGCTCAGAGATGTGACCTTTTCTCTGGTCTGGCTGGTAGTTAATCCAGCTGAGGATCGCCTCAAACACTGTGTACTCCTCGCTCACGTTGAGGTGGTCGCTCTCAATAATGGTGGTCAGCTGCTCAATAGAGAGATTCACAAGCTCCTGGGAGACAGACACTATCTCCTTAAAGCTGTGCAGGATGTAGAGGAAGACTTTTTTACTCTGCTCCGGCATGTAGTAGACACTCATCAGCTTCCAGATGCCGATGCAGTTCCTCGGGGACAGCTGGTCCTCCAGGAAGAACCAGCAGCTCTGAACCAACCCCGTCACCAAGAGCTGGTCTGCAGCTGCCAAAAGCTCCACCACGTTATCCTCCGTCACAGGAGCAGAGTTGGTGTAGGCATAGTTGATGATGAGGCTCATCATCTCAGACGACACCCCGGGGATGGTGTACTTCTGCTTTTTGATGGATGCCCAGGGTCCAGTAAGGAGAGCGCTGTGGGATCAGGGTTTTAGAAAGGAAAATACGTAACAGTCTCATAATAAGTAGACCTTTTGGAAAAATCAGTCGCAGATCTGCTCTTCATGGAGAAATGACTTATCTGGAGTTGATTATTGATCATCAACCCATGCGTTTCAACTGCAACTTGGCCAATAAAGTCTTATGAAAGTTGCCATTTCTATATGTAGCACTTTAATAGGGTATGGCCTATCTGAAGCTAATGTAGTCTCAGGATTCTTTCTATTCGGAGTTTGTATACTCGTGGTTGAGTGCACTCATGGCGCATTTCCACCGCAGACCTTGCTCGACTTAGTACGGTTTGGTTAGGCCTTGTTAGGCCCGGCTCACTTTAATGCTGCGCTTCCATTACAGTTTAGGAACTGGGGTTGTAAGTCCCTTTGGATGACTATCAGCTAAATGAAAATGAAATATTTTTCAAAGCTTAATTATGAAAAAGAATTTTTAAGACATCATCAGCTCATGATGATCAGCTGTACGCGCACCGTACCCGAGTGGTAGTGACAGCAGCAAAATCAATCTGGAGGCTCTGCTTACTTTGCCTTTTCTTTCTTACATCTTTTTCTCATCTTTTTTCTATCTTCTGAAAGATTGAATTTATTTAGCCCCACAGGCATCTGAATCATTCCAAATATAATATTGTTGTGGAGTAATCACAGTTTCTTTACCATGTGCGATCAGTGTGACAAGACACTGCTTTGTTGAAGCAAAACAAAGCAAAACACATCTGCTCATTAAAAACAGGGACATAAAAGATGACAGTTCAGTACAAAATGGAGTCTCTGACATTGGTTTCAAATGTATTGTTATCACATGAGAAAACTCAAACATTGACTTTAATTAAATGTATGATGTCAACAGATATCACATAACTGTAGTAGGTTAGTTAAAAGCAACAATATTAAGTTTAAATACAAAATATTAGGTTCAACTTGATTAAAGTCCATTTTTCAGTTTTTTCAATGTAGTTCTGAGACAACAAAATGCAGTTTAGCATCTAAGTGCAAAAAGCAGTAAAAAGTGTAAGGTAATGCATTTTATTTGATTGTTTATTTCTTAATGGAGCACAAATCAATGGCCCACACCTCAGGATTATAGCTTAGGCTGATTTGCAATGCTGGTCCCATGGGCCTTTAAGCCAGATAAAACTCAACAACAAATACACAAGATAATACAAAACAAAAACACAACTATATAGGTCGGTACATTATAACACAACATTCAACAAAAATAAAGAGAGAACAATGGCAATATGACAGGTTCCTCTTTAAAAACGGTTTCAGTTTGAGTTTTAAATGGTGCTAAATTGAATAATCAGTCATATAGAGAACAAAAATACAATTATTATGAACATGATAAGATGTATACAAAGGTGTACTATTTACAGTAGTGGCTGCTTCTTCAACACTTTGATATGTTCACTTGTGTTTATGGTGCTACTTTTTATTGTACCTAGTGTACTAATTTGATGTTTATACTGCTTGTGTCTTTATTTCATGTTTTAATCAAATCATTTTGTGTTTTGCCTTTTTGTTGCCTTTTGATTTTTAGATGTAGTACAAATAGTGTGAGCATTTTGAGGGTTTTATCTTTTCACAGACTTGCTTAAAGTGTATGATTTTACAGCCTTTGCTCTTCTGAGATGAAGTACTCACCGAAAGTACGAGCTGCAGCTACAGAGGATGACCTTATGAGCGTCAATCTTGACTTTACCCACTTGTATTTCCAGGTCACAAAGTTCCCTCTTCACACGCATTTCAGTTAGGACTGCAGATGTCATGCCATGCATCCTTTTCTCCACCTGACTCCTGTGAGGGTTTAATGCGCTGGAAGCTTGTCCTGGTGTACTCATTATTTTGGAAAACATTTTTGCTCTCTACTCTGTTGGTCCTCAGAAAGTTTGTCTGGATATTTGTATCTTCCTCATAGTAAGTACAATGTCAAAACTCATACAAAATGTTTCACTATGACAACAAAGAGTTTGAAACTGATGGAACTGTCACTCTGGAAACCCCTCATGTGCATGATTCAAACTAACACATTTAGAAGAGATGCAAAACAGGTGATAATACAATACATTATATTTCTTTAATTCCACATTTAGGGATATTTTCAGTGTTTCAGCAGCAGAGGGACATTGGAACAACAAGAGGAAGTACACAAGTATTACAGATAAGTTAAAACACAAAACAAAGGACAGAATTCAAATACCATGTGATTTAAAATGTATTGCAGAGGAAACGATAGATGATTGTTGATATTTTCTTTGAATGAATGAATGAATTGTCAGTCAACTCATTACTGTGCTACATAGAAAAAAAGGAGGCCGGTCCTAATTAGCAAGATAGTATACATACATATGCGCGGTAAGGTAATAATAAGTATTACAACTAGTATTGGAGACATATTCTAGACCGCATGTCTGTTAAATCAGTTTCTATTGGTGATGGTTTGTTCTAAAAAATGGAGAATGGATGGAGATCATTGTCTCAATTGTGACCTGTATGATTGTTTGTGCCTGTTCTTTAATAAAAAAACATTGAAAACAAAAGTCAGTTTTTATTGTCAAATGTCCTGAGGGGGATATTCACTTCCTATGTTGCTCTATGTCTGGAGGAAAAGGGAGCACAGTTAGAGAAGAGTTGTTACTAACTTTTACCACAAGAGGGCGAGCAGTGCAGCTAGGAATACACATCAACACTTTAAAGTGCTGAATCCAGATGTGTCGTACACCTTGCAAACCAATGGCTGATTTCTCACATTGTTACTTTGTCATTACAATGCAACAAAAAAGATGAACACAAATTATTATAGGAATGTATTTGTACTTCTACTTTCGCATAATATCACAGTTGTAGGTCTTCGTGCTATTTGTTGACAAGAATTATGTTAAAGACACACTTTTATGTAAGTAATGTTTTTTTATGTACTAGCATGTGTATTTCCCTTATCTGTTAGTTTGCTTTTGATATGTGTCTGATAATGGTTAAAGATGTGAACAGTACAATGTTTGCTTGTGAAACGGAAGTTCTCAAACACAAAGTAGGCCTACCTCATAATTGGTAAAGTGTACTAGGGTAAATGTACTTTGTTACATTTAAACAGCCGGTTAAATCCAACTTTATCAACTCCCCCTAAATTAAAAGTAGCTCCTATATGCCAACTGCAACTTTAGAGTGATAAACACATTAATGGATAAATAACTATAATCCAATGACAATATCTACAATGGGCCATTCTGCATATGGAGTATTTTACTTTTGTTATGCTTTTAGTATATTTTGATGCATATACTTTTGTAGTTAAGAAACATTTATAAATGCAGAACTCTCATACGAGTATTTTTAAAGTGCAGTTCTTTTTTTAAAATTATTTGTTCTTACTAATATATTCAAGTGAAGTAGGATACAAGGAACTTCAATTAGGAAACAGGCTTGAGTAATTGTACTAAGTTACTTTCACCTGCAGGGTAAAACTAAAGCTGGTTCTCACAAAAGTAGTGAACACACGCACACGCACACCCACACACACACCCGCACGCACGCACGCACGCACGCACGCACGCTCACCCAAACACACCTCCTTGTTTCTCCTCTCTCTCAGAGTTGTTCAGACTTGAGGGAGGAATGGCGGCCCCTCGGAGTTTCTTCATCACTCTCTCGGGTTTATTTTTGTTTTTAAATGTCTCTTGTGGATCTACGACCTCCGGCGGCAGAAGAGCAAACCAGGAGCGATGCGGCTACAAGGTAAACACTTACTAAAATATACCTTTACCTGTTTGTTTAATCGCATTTAAGCTAGTTAAAGCTGTTGTTGCTGCGTCGTCTCAAGTGTCCAAAAAAGTTCACTTTTCGCAGATGTTTCGTTGTGTTTTCTGTCACATTTGTGTAGAAGTAAATACACTTTTGCTATCTTAATAAGCAGATGACATTAACTTAAGTGTGAATACAGCTTTGTTCAAACAGTCTTTTATGCGCAGTGTTTTTTAAGACAGGTTGAGTTACCTTTACCTGTCGCAGCTCCGGTTCGGACCATTTTTACGGAACGTAACCAAACTCCAACTTTAATAAGCGCCAATTTTAGGATAATTTGCTATACTGTAAATATGCAGACAAAACAAAAACACTTTGAACTGTTTCTGAATAACACTGGTGTCCTGTTTAATTCGGCACAAATGTAGTCTACTATAGAGGATTTAAATCCAAATAAATCAACATTTTATATCTGGTTATCACCATTCAATTCCAAAAAGACAGCAATGCGACAATGGTAAACTTTAGACTATGGTTTGTGTTAGAGTACTGGAGTGACTCCCAAAGCTCATGTTTATGTACTTTTATTGGATTTGGGAACAGACAAGTTGAGTGAATTGTTAAAACTCTAATAACATAAACGTTTTAGCCTACTTTCTATTTACTTACAATAAATAAAGTAGATTGTAAGACCGTGCTGTCTGCTTTAAACCAAACTCATTTGAAGAAAATGCATATTGGAGGAGGTTTCCTTCTTTTAAAGCATTTTTCTATTTTAAGTTTATTGTCGGTAGGATATTATGCTATTAGTGTATTTGCATACATTTACTTACATTCTGCATATGTACAATTTACCAAAGAGCACATGTAACCTTAAATCCACCAATCTAAAGGTTTTCTTTTGCAGGCTTAACAGACCAAGAGAATCAATGTTTAAAGTACACCTATCATGCTATTTTTAGGCAATAACATAGGTCTCAGATATATAAAAATATATAAAAAACATGTCTATGAAGTGTTTTGCTCAAAATACCAAACAGATCACCCATTCTAGCCATGCCTCATATCCCTCTATTAAAAAAAAAAAAGATTGATACAAAATAAAAAAGGAGGCCGCTGAGCTCATGCCGGACCCGGCAGCTACTGTCTAAACTAAATACTGCCGTGATGAAACGCCATATCATGGATTATCAAGGATTCTTTCTGAAACAGTATGGATCTCAAAGGCTTTCTCTCTGGCCGATTATACCACAAGGTGAGTTCCTTTTTATTTCCTGCTTCTTCACACACATGCTCTCCAGTACAGGTTAGCTCTGAGTGTTAGTGATGCTAATGTAAACACCGACCATATTACGTCCAAAACAGTTGGGCAACGTTTCTGATAGCAACGTTTCTGATAGGGCCGTGGGTGTAAAGCCAGCCTACATTTCCGATATTACGTCATATCGGATGCAAATCTGGATCAGCTCCGTTGTACCCCCGTTTTTAGAGATTTGGGTACGGAGGAAAAGAGAGAAGGTTTTATTTTCTGACGCTGCGTGAGTTCCCTGACACACCGGGGACACATATTTATGTATTAAAAAACATCAAAAAGTGCATTTAGCATGATGGGTCCCCTTTACAGCAGAAATGACAGTAAAAAGCTTCTACTTGGTGCTGAGTTATAGATATTTCAGAGGGATAAAACACAGGGCTTCCAACCTTCTTTGCATTTGAGTGTTGTGGTTGAGGGGAATACCAGGTAGTAAAACGCTGATTTCCTGCCTTTTGTGTGATCTGTTAAGAACATTTGATGTGGAAAAAAGGAATCTGTGAAGTGATGCCCCTCCTCCACCCTGCTCCGCTGCAGCTTTGTTTCTGCCCAATAATGAACCACTTTTTAGCCTGCACCATCATTACTACAGGGGTTTAATGTGTGCACCACTGTGTGAAAAAGGTTCAGGGTTTTCAAAAAAGTGCCATTAGTTAAGTTTTAATCAGATTTCATTAACCAAAAATACAAATTTCTGGTATAAAAAATATCTTAAGATACCTCAGAACTTGTCTTTCAATCTTTACTCTCATGCAAACCAATTTTTGTTTTATACCTTTTTCTTAATAAGAACATCTATTGATATTATCTTACAATAATTATTAAATGTTATTGCTCTCAGGTTATGTCCCCTGTGTCGTTTTGAGACGTTTGACAATATTAAGTATTTTTTCAGTTATAGATGATCTGTAAATTACTTTCAAGCTTTATTGAATAATCAATAATGTACTTTTAAACTTAAAAAGGTAAACTCCCAGATGCTGTTTACTCATACATACAACAGAAAAATCATTATTTCCTTGCTCTGGATGATGTTTGGAAAAACTAGATGAAATATGGTGCTTAGTTTTTGAATGTCGTTCTTAACATTATTAAGGTAAAAAAAGTAACCCAACATTTGATATAGTATATCTGTAACACTGCAGATGTTAGCTATCCATTTGAGTAAGAAAGAAGGCATCATATTCCAAGGAAGAAAACCTTTCAGTCTTAACTGACCCAAAAACTTTTTTGAAAATGTGTGTGCAGTCAGTGTTTCCCCTAGGTTTACTGCTTTAAATGTAATGTAATTTCAATTACATTACATTTCCTTTTAACTGATGCTTACATCCAGTGTGTTTTACCATAACTTCTTAAAGTTTAGTTCATAATTGCATGTATTTCACATGCACATTTTCCTTTTCCTGTCCATCATTATTAAAAAAACAAGCTAATTTCTGTTAGAAATCTGAATAGTTGGTAGTTGTTGATTAAATATTAATTTAATGAATTAAGTTTTTGTGTCTACAGTGAAGCATTGTTAAAAAGACAAAGCTTTTAGAAAGTTATTTGACAATTTTTGAGATGTTTAAAAAGTGAGTGATGTGATTTCCTTCATGTTTCTTTTAAGGAAAGTGTGTGTGTGGGAGAGCTCTACAGGTTTTAATTTTCGTGTGTGTGTGTGTGTGTGTGTGTGTGTGTGTGTGTGTGTGT